ACCATGAGGCTGCAATAGGTCATGTAACTTGCTTTACCATCAACTGTTTAGATTAACGGTGTTTGATAATTTTGCAGAGCTAAGACAGTTGCTGAGAAAAGTTCTACTTTTAGCTTTGTGAATTGCTGTTCTGCTTCTGGGGTCCATTAGATCATCTCTGACATAGCTACTAGTGTGTCATAAAAAAAACTTAAGAAAAGCTGAGTTTTTTTCATAATGTGGAATCTAAGCCCTGCAGTTATTGCACAATTCTAAAAAGACATTCTTGTAGCTTTTTACCTTCTTCTGAAATAACATGGCCCAAACAACAGACTTGTTTCTGCACCCGCTAAAATTTTATAACTGGTTTTATACTTTCCTTTGCTTCACATTTTAGCAGATATTGTTTTATCCTTAGCCTGATTTAGGAACTATTTTAACTGAATCTACAGTTGTCAACAGTCCTACATCAATTCTTCCTGTAGACCACAAAGCATTTGGAATATCTTTGAAAACATTTTCATCAAATTGTGATAGCAAAGAATGCTGAGTTATTCTAACACATACCGAATCTTGAACCTGGGGTATTACATCGAACAGAATTTTATAAGGCTGTTTTCATAGTTGGAAAAAATAGACATGGAGCAGAAATGCTAAGCATGTTGCATAAAACACAGAAGGATTTAGTTGCAACACCATTACATGTATTATTCATACAGCCTTTACAGCATGGGAAAAATTGCAATGCCTAATTTTCCATCAAGTCTCACTTTAACAGATTAATGGGGTGAGTTGGTGATATTACTACAAAAACATGAAACCTTGCAACCTTTTTCCTGTTTGAAGGTCTTCTATTTCTATTACCCTTGACATCCTAGGATGTTTGATTATTTGCTGATTTTATAAAAAAAATAGCCTTTTAGATGGTTTTAGCATTTACATTAACTTTAAGACAAGTATTACAGGCTCCTGAATCACATATAAGTCTAACTGCCTGTCCATTAGTTGCTAGAACTAGTCATGTTTTTTATTTTAATGCATTTAATATCCCCCATGCTCCATACACATCTACTATTTTAATGGCTATTCTTATTTGCTGTAGCACTTAGTCACACCTCAGATGAAGAACTGCCCTGTGGACTCTTTCTTCCTAGTCTGCTTTTACTGGTCTGGGCTGAAAGCTCCCTCAGCTCCTAGGACCGCCCCTGCATCCTTGATTCCTTTTGACATTTTTTTATCATCTACATTTGCAAAACCAACTAATTTCTTTCCGGAAGCTGACCCATCCACATACAAATTTATATAAACCCTCCTGTGGTTCATCTTTTCCCCTGGGTGGTTAGATCCAGGGAGTAAAATGTTTTTGGGAATGAGCCTGAATGTATCACATGTGTGTCAGTTGCTTCTAGCTCCCATTGTCTGTAGGCACCAGCACTAATTGCAATTCCCTTAACAAATCTCTGCCTAATAAATTAACTGGACAGTCTGGGCTTAACTCAAAATCAGCTTCCACTGTGAATCCCTCTTCTTCAGTGACCAATTGTTTTTCCCCTGTGACCACCAGCCCCTCACTTAAGCCCAGTCATGGTCCAAACTACACTTCATAGCTTTTCCTATGTTTTAGCTTGCTCAATCCACTTATTTAACCCCTCTAATCCCCCCCCCCCCCCCCCTGTATGTAGCTTGCATGACAAAAATAATTTTCTAGTGGGTTATTTATTTTTAATTTTTTGGTTCCGAACCTAATAGTTTTGGAGACCCTGCACGTGCATTAGGAAGGCTGTCAGTTGGATCAATGCTGCAGTCACCGTTCCACTGTCAATCTGACACAAACTTTCCATACCACTTATGATCTTCTCTTTACTCTTTCCTGAACCCATCCTTTTTTATTATTTTATCTCCCTGGTCTCTTTAGTTATTTTATTCTTTAGTTCTATTATTTTATTATTTTGGAATAGAGGCGTCCCTCAAACCCATATTTTTTTTAAACCAAATATTCAAGTGTTTATTTTTTTGTTGGATCCTGCGCTTCTACAAACTTCTGATCGTAGATTTTAAATAATCCTTGACTTTAGTTTGACCTTAACCAATTTTAAAGAATTTAATCCAGTACAAACACCTAGGGTATTCTACGCACTGGATGTTTATTCAGCAGGACAGCCTTGGTCCCACACGGTCCTGGACAATTGGATCTTGACTCCTAGGTTTCGGCACCAAAAATGTTGGGTTCAAAAATGTAGGTTTTTAAAAGAAGAACTGGAATACACAGTAATGTATTTTCATACTGCTTCTGCAGAAGGAGAGACAGTTGCAACCCAAACTCAAACACACTGTCTCCCACCGGACCTCCTCTTCAGAGCATTTTATTAACAGATGCTCCCACAGAGGATGCTCCCACAGAAAAATTGATCAGTTCATAAAGACAGGATGCTCCCCTCTTTACTGAATCACAAGGCAGTGTGGTCTCCTGACTGAATCATGAGACAGGAGTGGAGCATCTCATTTCTACAATGTTTCATATGAACACACATTAATTTAATAATCATCATTTAATAAACCTAACAATCTCAGTCCAGAAATGTGCAGTTCTAGGGACAGCTTAGATACAGAGAAGAACCTTCAGGCTCTTATCCTTCATTTCCATTTATACCTACAGGAGCAGGAACCCAGATGCCAGGATTGAGGTCCAAGACTCAGTGATCATGATGAAAATTATTGTTTGAAATCTCTTAGTCTCTACAACTTTCTCACCTCTTATTTCTTTAAACCTTCCTTGGACATTTCCAAAAGGACATCTGAGATTGTGCCTCTAACAGCTGCCTTTACTGGTTTTTGTACGTTAATCTTTCTACCATCAAAGGGCCGGATCCAATTTTGCATGCAGTAATTTGCGCTCGCAAACTGGAATTTTGCACAAGGGGCTGAACCATGATTTGCGGGTGATTTAACAAGAGTGATTGCGTAACTGGTGGCAGGTGCAAAACTGTTGGAGACGCCCTATTTAAATGATGGTTTTGCGCGTTTTGTGGTTTGTGGCAAAGTAGTTTGTAGTTTGTACAAACTAGTGCATTAAGAAATTTAAATCTTACAGTGACCCCCAACAAAAAAAAAAAAAAAAAAAAAAAAAAAATATATATATATATATATATATATATATATATATATATATATATATATATATATATATATATATATATATATATATATAAAGAAAAAACTTTGGCAACCTTTATTCCCTAAGGTGGTATGTGGCTGAATTTCTACTTCACTGCAGTAAAAAAAAAAAAAAAAACTGGTGTTTTGTGTTGGCCTGTAGAAAAATGAACATACCAAATGGCTCAAAAGAAGTGACTGTGGATGAGATTACTGCGAGTATGCATCCCCGCAGCATTGGCATGTTGCTCCACAGGCGCAGGGGGGAGGTCGGGGTTCTTCGTTAGGGCGTCAGGGCGACATGGCATTTAGAACGTCAGACAGCACTTCTGAAAAACTAGATTGGGAGATCCAATGTTGCAATGAGTTTTGTGATATCTGGTATTGCATGGGTCCTCCTTGTGGCTGGCTCCAAATCCATTCGGAGTTCCCCCCACAGCTCCAAAATGGCAATGCTGGATAAACGATATGTTTTGAAGATCGTTTCCTCATTCATTCCAAAAATATTCACACGGAGTGAAAAAATGCGTTCTCTGCGTCTCCTTGCTTCATTTCGACGTCTCCTTCTTGCGACAATAACTACTGCCATGTGTGCGCAATTACGCATACAGACCATTTGCACCTTCTTTTGAAACGTGTTAAATATAGTCAGATACCGTTAGCAAAATTGCTTTCAGGTTTAATAAATCACTTTGCGAGTGCTAAATTAATATATTTACATGTTCTCCTCCCACAAGACTCACTTTTGCGTGTAAACGCCCCATATTGCATATTCATTGCAGAAAAAGTACTAAATGGATAAGAGGCGCTATTTAGCATGTTTTAAAGACCAAATCCTTTTAGCACGCTGTTGATTGATCAGTTTGTACATTTTTTACCGTGCGCAGTGAAATAGCTCACGTTTTAATACACGCAAACCTTTGATAGATCCGGCCCATAGTCTTTAATTTTTAATATAATTTCTTGCTGCTTCTTACTTGCTGCTGAGAATACATTTCTTATATTACTAAAGTTTAGTGAATTAAATCATCCCTATTTCCTTTTCAAGTGCTTTGGTTACTTGAACTGGATGAAAGTGTCCTTTCTCCTTTCTAAGCTTGTTTAAAGCCTTTGTTTATATCCCTTTTTCCTGTTTACCATCATCTGTGCTACCATTTCCAACAAGATTAACTTTTAGCTTTTAAGTAACTCAAGATGTCAAGATGATTCTTTCCTTGCCATTTTAGTTTGGATTATCTCCATAGATGAAAGTGACTCATCATTATCATCATCAATGAGCTATGTCTCATTGATCAACATTTATTGCAATCTGCTTTTTCACTTCAAAGGTTTATTTTTGTAACACCATTCATGCAGTAGACAATTCAAGCAGTTGTATACCAGACAAAAACATGGAAATGTTAAAAACAACTTTGAAAAACTTGAAAATTATTTTACTTTTCTGTAGGAATGACAGGCCAAAAATTATACTTTTCCTTCAACCTACACCTAGCACCACCATTTACCTTCTGCTATTCTCCTTTTTTGCCTAATAGAAGTTACAAGAAAACCTTTATTTATGCAGCACTTTTCACATAATAAAATCCATTAGGCTCATCACAATGAGACAGCTGTAAAAATAACACGAAAAAAGAGTACAACAAAAAGAATTTAATAAACATTAACATGCAACATTATACAATAAAAATAAATTAAAAACAATCTGAATAAATTGTTCTTCAGTGGATTTTTATAATGATGAGAATGAAAAGACCAATCTTAACACTGATCTGTGTTAAATTAATGTTGATTATTTCATCAGGTGATTTTAGCTCTAAATGATTAAATATAATCAGAATATTTGACGAAGAATGGGTTTTTTTTGCTAGTTTTGATTTCATGCTATCCTTTTTTAAATAGCTTTAACACAAAAGCATCACTTTCATAATTTTGTTTCCCCTGGAGAAAAAATTATTTTGGGGGGTAGGGGCGGTCACGACAAAGACCTGAAATTATACGAAAACTATCATGGAAGTCTTCTATGAAGCATCTATACTCTGAAAATATCTGAGCTATTTGAAGAATGATACCTCCACTTAATGAGGTACTCATTAAGTGGAGGTATCTAAATGTTTAATCTTATTTCTGAAATGGAGAACATGTTATTGCCCTGAATGAATGCACTAAATAAAAATGTTAATATATTTAAGTAGATGTTCTTAAAATAAGTGCATTTTCTCTTGATCTAAGCAGGTAAGTTAGACAATTTTCCATTGGAATAGAATGATTTACAATTAAATTAAGAATGTAAAAATTTACTTATAGTGCATTATATTTATCTTATATTTAAGAGCAAAGAGCATTGCTTTGGCAGATTGTCATAATAACCTGTTCATATTAAGACTAAATATACTTATTTTGAGAAAATGTGATCTTTTTAGATCTATTTTGTAGTGTAATAATCCATATATTTATTGTGATATGTACTGAGAGAACAGGCCGTAAATGATTTCCCCTTGGACCAATTTTAATATTTCTCCTTTCCAATTTTATCGAGCAATTATTTCAAAATTGCGGTTAGCTTTAAGCTTCAGTCGTACTGACGCAGATTTCATCTGTTAGATCAGGAGGCTGCAACCTTGGCTTTGTGGCTTACTTTAAAACTTAAATGCCATGTTTTTACCCTATTTATTCCTTTTTGCTCTGCCCTTGTTATTCTTTTGTTCTATGCCCCCTTGAAAAAACACTGCTCCCACCCTTGTAAATGTAATCTTGAACTGCAACTGTTAAGGTGAGAGAATTAGTGTTATATGCCTAAAAAGAGGCTGTTCTCCGCATGGGTTAAGGTTAGTGTAAGGATTGGGGGTTATGCTGTGTCCCTGACTCATAACATGCAGGGCCAAGCTTTGCTAGCAACAAATAGCACATAAGGTATGATTTCAGAGCAGTTTATGGTTTATATTTTTTTTTAAGTCCAAAGAGGCATGAAGTGTGAAGGAGAGAAATTATCTCTGGGGGAAAATATCTGTATTGATCAAACATATCAGGTATGAATATATCCTTAGCTCTGATGCCGTTAATTTGGATTTAATTAATTTGTCTCAGAGGATAACACATATCTTTTGGTAATTCCTTTTCAAATCTTGTATTTCTTGATCATGTTTTCTCCTTAAATTCTCTATTTCTTCTTTCAGATATTTTTCTTTGTACTGAAACAGTTCCCCTAACTGATTGTATTCTTTACTGTGGCTGTTCTCTGCCTCTTCCATTTTTCTTTTAAGTTTTTGTTTCAGCTCTTGTATTTCCTCCATGTGTTTTTCCACTAGAGCTGTGAAATCCTTGGTGTATTTCTGTCTGAACTCATTGAATTCTTCAGCTTTTTTTCTTGCTTCTTCTTCATATTTAGTTTTCATAGCGACCAGTTTTTGGCTGTAAATTTCCTCTAATTCTTTTCTCTCCTTCTCTTCTTGCTCTTTTCTGATGCGGTCTTCTACTTTGCTTTTTATTCGATCCTTCTCTCTTTCTTTCTCATATTCCTCTTGAAGTTTTGCCAGTTTTTCTTGCTCCTGCTGACGTATCTGCTCATTTTCCTGATATCTTTTTTCCCACCATTCTTTTCTTTCCCTCTCCCAGTTTTCCCTTTCCTTTCGTATGCCTTCTCTACTCTTCTCCAGCTCTCGGTCAGTATTTTCCTTTTTCTGCTCTTCTGATTTTATGATCTTCTCAAGATCTCGAAGTTTTTCTTCCCATTCATGTTGCTTAAATTGCTCTTGCCTTTTCTTTTGGTTGTCCTCCTCTTCTCTTATTTCTTGTTCTTTTCTTCTCTGTTCTTGTTCCTTAGCTATATTTTCAACCATTTCTTTAAGCTGTTTTTCTCTCAGTTTTCTCTCTGATTCCATTTCTGCTCTTTGTTCTTCCATTTTTTTTTGCATTGCTTGTATTTTTTCTTGATGTTTTTGTTCCAGCTGTTTTTTCTGTCTTTCCATCTCTTCTTCCTTCTCTTTCAGGATTCTCTCCACCTCCTTTTTTATTGCAATCTCAGCTTCCTGGAACATTTGGTTGGTGTAACAACCCCCACCATTTTCATTCACCACTGATTCAACCTTCATCAGCAGCTCCCTGACCTGAGAGCGATCGTTTTTAACATTATTGTTAAATACATGGTATCTTCCCCCACAGTCGCGGATAAGTTTTTTGACAAAGTCATCACAGTCATCTTCGATGTAACTCTCAAATGTTTGTTCCTTTAATTCATCTTTTCTGGTAAATGTAACAATGATGAATTGTTGGGAATTCTTGCCAAAGTATTTCTTAATCAGATCCACAGTTTCTTTTTCTTCATTAGTGAACCGTCCAATCTGCAGGACCAGCAGGATCACATGAGGTCCAGGAGCCAACATGCTAATACAATGCACCAGTTCCTGTTCAACTTCACTGTTAGACAGAGTCGTGTCAAACAAACCAGGTGTATCAACAACAACAACTGGCCGACCATCAACTTCTCCACTTGCTTTCTCACAAAACTTAGTGACTGACTTTCCACTAGCTTTAGATTTAAAACGTTTTTCACCCAAAATTGTGTTTCCTGTTGCACTCTTTCCACTACCAGTTTTACCAATTAACACCATCCTAAAACACTCCTTGCTCAGATCTCTATGATCTGTTTGCTTAGCATTCTCTTTCTTGACCTTGTCCAGCTCAGCTTTAAGCTCATGATTAATATGTTCCTGTCCAACAACCTTCTCCATCTGAGCTCTGGTGAACATATCCTTTATAAAGACTTTGGGCATGACGTTTCTCTGATTTTCTACTCTATCCAACAGTTCTGGGATCTGCTGACTACTTTTGGTGTTGAGGATAACATAAACCCCACTACACCTCTGAATGAGCTCCTGGATGTCCTTCTTCTCCTTTATGAAGTTAACCACTTGCGGAGCTGTAGGATCTGAGTCCACAGTGAACAGGATCATGGTGAAGTCATTGACTCTAGAGCCGAATGTGTCCTGGATGGTCTGTAACTCTCCCTTGTCTTCATCAGTGAGGGGACCCACAGGTAGGACCAGGATGAAGGCGTGGACACCCTCAGGATCACAGAGGGAGATACAGCTGAACGATTCCTCCATCACTTCCTGCTGAGCTTTTCCACACAAGGCAGGCAGTTCCACCACAGAAACCCAACGTCCACAAACCTCTCCCTGGTTTCTGACACACTCTGATGAGCTGGAGACTGAATGAAGATTTTTCTGACCTAGAATGGCCTTGGCTGCTGAGGTCTTCCCAGATCCTCTCCTTCCAAAGAGAACCAGGTTTAGTGGAGGTTTCATCTTTTCATCTTGTGGCCTGCTGGTCTCTTCCCTAAAGGTCAGATATGCCCCTTTGTTCTCATGGACAACTGTCTCAACCTGCATCATCAACTGACTGCAGTCAGTGTTATAACTCATGTTGTAGCATCTTCCTTGAACCCTTTCAAGGAGCTTCTTAACAGAGCTATTTTTTTCACCGCCATTCGTTAAGATGACCATTGAATATTTGAAGGCATCATGACCAAACAAACGCAGGATGGACATCAGTGTTTGTCTGTCTTGCTCAGGAAATTCTGAAGGTTTCACCAGCAGCAGCAGAACATTTGGTCCAGGATAACAGAGTCTCACGCAGTTATTTACTTCTTGGAGTTTCTCCTTAGACATACTGAAAATGTCAGGAGTTTTTACCACTATTAGTGGTTTTCCATTCCACTCTCCACAGTAGGCCACACTGTGCTTCTGTTGAGGAAATGTCTGCTCTCCAATAATCAAGTTACAGAGCTTAGTTTTTTTCTTCTCACTTTTTCCCAACAGCACAATCCTGAAACCAGGTCCTATAATAGAATAGAGAACAGTATGAGATAACACAAACGCAGATATTGCTCCAGCCCTCAATAGGCCACAGTTAAAATTAAAGTGGTCTCTTACTCCTACTAAACAGTCTCTTGCTTCACCTCATGTCAACATAGGATGAAGTAAGATCACAAAAGATTAGAGAGATAATCTGTACATCAAGTCCAGAAACAAATTTGTCACTAAATAGAACATGTTTTCAAAAAATGTCCCAATTTCACCAAATAAACTATCTTCCTCCTGCTGTTTTGATGTTTTACCCAAAGCTTTTCTTATGAAAGTGCTGCCTGCCATAATGTCTGATTTAACTCAAATAATACTCATGTCCCTTTTGTCAGTACCTTTCTCCCAGGCCCTTAAAACAATAAAGATCAAAATGTTGTTGAAAAAGAGCAACTGCTGCTACTGCAGAACTAGAGGTTCCAATGTAAATGCAGACTACGGAATAGCTTGTTATTACTAACATGACAGCACTTTTCACCTCATTTGAACAATTAACCAGTGAGATAAGCTGACATTTTGCGACTTCCACAGACGTGAGTCAATCTGTTGTGGCACTAAAACATTTGTTGAGCAAAGCAGCTGACACAGACAGTGGCGTGCGCACAGCTATGGCTACTCTACTGGGTGCTGTAAAAGAGCAATTTCTAGGCACGTTTTCTGAACCGCTTTACTATTTGGCAAAAATCTTGTACCTACAAGCTTCAGATAATCAAGGCTTTTGAAATTACAAAAAATAGATCTTTCTGAAATAATTTTTTGCCCCTCGTAAATTGTGGGTGGACCTTTAGCATCATCATTTGCTCACAGAAAAGTCTAACACAGGTCTTAAAGAGGAGAGGATAAAGCAATAGCAGTGAAAAAGCAATATAACTTGCTTTCCTTCCCTTGCCCTTTCAGCTCCATGTACAAGTGGGGACAGTGAATATCTCTTTTCTTCTCAACATATTATTGATGAAATGAGAAACGGGATTCTACTTGTGAAAAAAATGTTTCCTTTGCTCATGACTTACGTCCCATTTAAGTCAGACTGACTGGACAGGTTATGTACCTGCAGGATCCTGAAAAAGGAATTAATTAATTTATCTTTACTATAATTGATCACTGCAACAGTTTCTGCTTAGCTCTGCCTGGATCAGACAGCTGCAACTGATCCAGAGTACTGCTGCTAGCATTATCTCTAAGAATGTTGAGCACATCAGCCCATTATAAATTCTTCCACTGCCTCCCTGTGAGAATAGACTTTGAAAAACCTCTGTTAGTCTATAGATCATTGAATGACTCCAAAACCCATAGCTGGCTTGTGAGTGTATAACCACCCAGATCTCTTCAGGCTCAATTCTTTTCTGAAAATCTAGAACTAGAACCAGATATGGACTTAGTTCTTATGCGCCGCAAATGTGGAACTAAACTGCCGAAGCCATAAATTGCTTTCAACCAAGAATCAAACTTTGTTTAAAACTGGTTTTGACTGTGTCATCCAGACATTATCATTTTAAGGTTTGACTACCTTCTGTTTTATTATCAATAATTTCATCAGTAATTTTTTATAATCCTTGATTAGACTTTAACTTCTATTTTTGTTGCTATGTACTCTTCTCTTCGTTTCTTATGGTGATTAAATTAAGTCTCCGTTGTCTGTGATCGTCCATCATAGAGGAAGAAGAAGAAAAAAAAAACAATATTTTCTAGTAAAATATAAATTCCAGTTGCTTAGCTTTCATAAAATTTGCTATGGGTTAGCAGTAGCCTACACTTGATGCAAGCTAAAACTATCTGACAAGCTTTTCTCCCATGTCTCTATTATAACAGCCACAGGTAGTAATACCTGCTGTGGGAAAGGTTGTTGTGTTTGTTATCAAGCTGCGGTGATGGAGACGTTCAAGAGAAGTTAGTTGCAGACTGTTCCAGTAGATGACAGTTACGCATGTTATTGTTAAATAAACCGTATTGCGTAAAAAAAAAAAAAACTTTTTTAAGTGCAAAAAAAATAGAAACAGAACTTAACCTTCGTTGTGCATTATGTTTTTGCCAGATCTGTTTGGTCATTCTTTCTTACTTATTTATAATTTCTGCATTTCTAATTTTATTTAATGCTTTCTTTTTGTCCAGTTATGATCGATTTATGTCTGCTACAACTATGGTTCTATTAACACCTAAGGTGTTTAAAATTGGATGTTTTATATGTGCTTCATAAATTCTTCCTTTGCCTATTGGATAGATCCATGACTACAGACAGAGAGAGATTTATGCTTTAAACTGAATCTGACCGTTTTTTGAGTGTGCCATGTTGGCAACATCACAGGGGCCCACTTTTTTTTTGCTAAGGTGAGAATATTCAGGTGGTCAGAGTATGAAATAAATAAATAAAATCCCCATTTCATTTTTGTAATTTTTTTAATTTCAAACAATTAATTCCCCCAAATCTGCAAGCAAATTTAAGGTACTTGTGCTTTTCTATTTCCCAATATTGCAATAATGTCCACACCCTACACTTAGCATGAGCTGATCTATTTGATCAACAAGATGTTTGTTAAGCCCATTCAGATTTTGTGTGCAATTCTAATAGAATTGTTTCATTTATGAATCATTGTTGTGGATTCGGTTCCCAAACTGTTTAAGCTAAAACAACTAAAACATTGAAATATAACATGGATATTAGTACCAATCATCTGATTCCAAAAGTCAGTAGTAAGTTGCTGCTTTTACTAAGGAACATTAGAGTAAGCTTTAGATATTTAGATACACATATTTACCCATATATATATGTTTATACTTGAGTAGTATGAAGCAAAACTACTGTTGCCTACATTTTCTTACTACCCTGTGTAAATTATTTTACTGAATAGCAGGCTTAACCAAACAATTAAGACACACAGAGTTTATGTAAATGAGAATTCTTTTTCCATTAAACATAAGCCTGGTATTTTGCATTATTTAAGCTAATTGAGTCACCTGGAGGCTAAGCATAATTTATAATATTATTAAATTCAGATTTCAGGTTTAAAAAATTACGAGTTTTCAGTAAACCTGCTTTGTGAGACGGTCCTCTGTTCTTGGAACTACAGTATACAGTATATCAATATATACAACTGCTGTATATTCAGTTTTGAATTCAAATAGCTGCAATAATGATTAAACACTGTCTCTTTATGAATAATTTAGTATGTTTTTTGTCCGTTAGTTTTGCATCTTAGAATGATTAATTTGTTTTCCATGTCCACCATGGATTTTGAGGTCGATAAAAACAGGTTATTTCTGTGGAGAGATGTATGTTCCTCCGATACAAGTAGGTTTATATCTCTGAGCTCTGTTTTCTGCCGAGTTAAAAAAGCATTAGTGTTAATATAACTGGTGAAGTATTTTTATCTGTTAATTTACAGAGGAGGCAGATCTTTCAGTTTTCAGGGTCCTCTCATGTGGAACAAGCTACCATTGTTTATTCTGTCTATATTTAAGGCTAGGCTTACTGTAAAACCTTCTTTTTTGCTAAAGCTTTTAGTTAGAGCGGCCCAGGTTATCCTGAGCTACACTATATTGCCAAAAGTATTTGCTCACCCATCCAAATTATTGGAATCAGGTGTTCCAATCACTTCCATGGCCACAGGTGTATAAATTCAAGCACCTAGGCATGCAGACTGTTTTTACAAACATTTGTGAAAGAATGGGTCGCTCTCAGGAGCTCAGTGAATTCCAGCGTGGAACTGTGATAGGATGCCACCTGTGCAACAAATCCAGTCGTGAAATTTCCTCGCTCCTAAATATTCCACAGTCAACTGTCAGCTGTATTATAAGAAAATGGAAGTGTTTGGGAACGACAGCAACTCAGCCACGAAGAGGTAGGCCACGTAAACTGACGGAGCGGGGTCAGCGGATGCTAACGCGCATAGTGCGAAGAGGTCGCCAACTTTCTGCAGAGTCAATCACTACAGACCTCCAAACTTCATGTGGCCTTCAGATTAGCTCAAGAACAGTGCGCAGAGAGCTTCATGGAATGGGTTTCAATGGTCGAGCAGCTGCATCCAAGCCATACATCACCAAGTGCAATGCAAAGCGTCGGATGCGGTGGTGTAAAGCACGCCGCCACTGGACTCTAGAGCAGTGGAGACGCGTTCTCTGGAGTGACGAATCGCGCTTCTCCATCTGGCAATCTGATGGACGGGTCTGGGTTTGGCGGTTGCCAGGAGAACGGTACTTGTCTGACTGCATTGTGCCAAGTGTAAAGTTTGGTGGAGGGGGGATTATGGTGTGAGGTTGTTTTTCAGGAGCTGGGCTTGGCCCCTTAGTTCCAGTGAAAGGAACTCTGAATGCTTCAGCATACCAAGACATTTTGGACAATTCCATGCTCCCAACTTTGTGGGAACAGTTTGGAGCTGGCCCCTTCCTCTTCCAACATGACTGTGCACCAGTGCACAAAGCAAGGTCCATAAAGACATGGATGACAGAGTCTGGTGTGGATGAACTTGACTGGCCTGCACAGAGTCCTGACCTCAACCCGATAGAACACCTTTGGGATGAATTAGAGCGGAGACTGAGAGCCAGGCCTTCTCGTCCAACATCAGTGTGCGACCTCACAAATGCGCTTCTGGAAGAATGGTCAAAAATTCCCATAAACACACTCCTAAACCTTGTGGACAGCCTTCCCAGAAGAGTTGAAGCTGTTCTAGCTGCAAAGGGTGGACCGACGTCATATTGAACCCTATGGATTAGGAACGGGATGTCACTTAAGCTCATATGTGAGTCAAGGCAGGTGAGCAAATACTTTTGGCAATATAGTGTATATTTATAGGGCTAGTTAACTCTATTTCCATTTTCTAGATCACTGCTTCTATTTTCCTTTTGTAAGGCCGCTCACACTGAGCCCGGTTCTGCTGGATGCTTCTTCCTGATAAAATTGAGTTTTTTCCTCTTCACTGAATAGATGTTCTGTGTGACGGATTGCTAATTCACACAAGAGTGAAACCTGCAAAGTCAATGACTGGATGCAATCAACAGGTTTCCCTTAGAAAATATTAAACTGATTTGACTTGACCGATCGGACTGAACTGTCTGTAAAGTGTCTTGAAATCATGTTGTATATTGGCACTATAGAAATGACTCAAATTGGAGTGTGGAGAAGTGATCATACACATTTAATCACAGATTCTTTAAAAAATCTACTCACCTTCATATGACTGATGTATCCTGGGTACTCGAGCACCAATACCTTAAAAAAGGACAGTAATTTTTAAAAATATTTAATAAAATAAAAACTTTGTCTCCAAATTCTTTTGAAATCATTCTCAAAATTATTTCTCAACTCACGAGCAGTTTGAACAGCAGCTACAATAGAACCCATTGCTGCCTTTTCCTTCTGGCTCTGATGAGAATCTTCCAAAGTGGTTGCTGCATCTTTAAACTCTTCGTAAGTCACATATTCTCCACCGTTTTCTTTTACGATTTGGCCAAAGCGAGTCAGCAGCTCTGGCAGTTCGATGTCCTCCATCTTTAAGTATCGATATCTACATTTCCTGATCAGTTCCTTAATTGGAGCATTTTTCATTTGCTCTTGAAAAGGTTTGATACGCTGCATCAGTTCAGATTTCAATATCATTAGAACCGAATGATTGAATGATTGATCACTAAAAGCTTTTAGGATTCTGTAGATCCTGTTTTTTTCTTGGTCTGTGAAATCTTCAGGTTTTAGTACCAACAGAAACACATGAGGACCAGGAGCAGAGGCCTGCACACAGTCTGTGATAAACTCTGTCAGTTTGTCTGCTGTGGATAACAGAACATCTGGAGTATTGATAACAGCTAATTTCGTGTTTTCCACTTCTCCACTGAATCTAATACAGACGTGAGCTTCATATTTAAAGGCGTTAATTCCTAGTATGAAGTTTCCCACTGAACTCCTCTGGGACCAGCAGCTTCCGAGCAGAATCACCCTGAGCTCAGACACTGGAACAAAAAGATAAAAGAAAGGTAAGAGAACAACGAATGAATTAGAAGTGATGTTAAAGAATATTGAAGTGAATGCGATAAAACCATCAATCGGTATTGAGGCAAAATTTGTGGATGTTGGTCTGGAAGTAACTTTAATCACAAAATAAAATAAAAAAAAAAAGGAACTAAGCTAAAAACTGGCTAAAATAATTAAAAGTTAAGACTTTAAGGGTATATAAATGGTTTTGAAAAAATATATAAAATACCAAGAAAAATGTAGGCCTAACTTCAATTGGGGATCTCGGTTAAGTTTCAGTTTAACTTTGCTGTTTAATTTTCAAGCTGTAAATTTGAGGTTGAGCAGAGAAAGTAGAGTTTCCTGCCAGAAACACCAAAGGCCCTAAGCTTCCTTAAAAAGTACAGTCTGCTCTGTCCCTTCTTGTTGACATCTTCACTTCTGTCTCCAGTATAGTTTGTTGTCCCGGTAAACACCAAGATACTTAAACTCAATCATCCCCACTTGTTCTCCCATGATGTAAATAGGGTTCAACTTGCTCATATTTCTTCTGAAATATGCAATAATTTCCCTTGTTTTGTTGACATTAAGGATCAGATATGGTTTCCACACCATACTACAAAGTGGTTCACCAACTCAGCTTATTGACTATCTTTGATGTACCCAATGACTGCAAAGTCATCTGAGTATTTTAGCATATGTAGGGAGTCTGTCTTGTTCTGGAAGTCAGAGGTTTATAGAGAGAAAAGGAATGGAGAGACTACCGTCCCCTGTGGTGCTCCTGTGCTGCTGACTACTTGATTTCACAGATGACCCTTTAATCTAACAAACTGTGGTCTGTTTGGTAGATAGTCTCTGATCCAGGCGAACGTTGATGCCTCCACTTGAGCCCTACTTTGTTGCCAAAAAAGGGTTTTTTCCTCTCCACTGTCGCTACAAGCATGCTTAGTGTGAGGGATTGCTGAAGAGTCAATGAGTCGATGCAGTCAGCTGGTTTTCCTTAGAGAGAAAACTTTGAATCAATTTGACTGGATGATCTGGTTGAACTGTAAAGTGCCTTGAAATAACGTGTTGTGAATTGGTGCTATAGAAATAAACTGAATTGAAATGAATTTATCTTCCCTCCTCAATTCAAGAAGAAATGCACTTATTTAGATTTAAATTTATTGCAGTATAGTTTGGACTAGAAAAATCCTCAGCTTCATTCCATATATTTGAAGAATCCTTCAGAGGGCGTTTAGTATGTGGCAGTCCAACATTCTGAATTGTATTTTTTTTACCTTGAAGGACTTTACTTAAAAAAAATATTCATTTTAGGCAATCTTAGCACACCTGTGCACTAATCATCATGTCTAATCAGCATCGTGATGGGACACCTGCGAGGTGTGATGGATTATCTCAGCAAAGAGACGTGCTCACTTTCACAGATTAGGACTGGTTTGTGAACAATATTTGAGGGAAATTGTGAAAAATATTTGTGTATGTATGTGGAAAAGTTTTAGATCTTTGAGTTGCTCACATAGAAAATCGGAGCAAAACCAAAAGTGTTGCTTTCATATTTTTGTTAAGCTTACATAAGAAAAACAAGCAGGATAGCTTCTGTGATGCATGTGTTTTTGCAACACTGACAATTATAATAAAATTGCTCCGCTGTCCAAAATTTAACAAACAATTTTAGGCAAGGCTTAAAAACTGCTGTCCAGGATTCTCATTCCCCATTCTCTAAGAGATTGGGTGGTGAAATGGGAAGGTAAATGAAAACATTAGCAAGGATCTTTATGTGCTTCAATTAATGTTTTAGCAAAACAAAGATCTATACATCATGAGTGAAAACTGACACCACTTTGAGAGGTACTGAAATAAGATAAACTTACATTCAGGTGGTATCCAATCATAGCTTTGACTTCGTTTTATAGGCTGGTCATCTGTAAAGAAAAAAGACCAACTCATTACCAAGACCAATATACTGTAATTATGTCTATAAAGCGTTTGTATCCATCATCTGTGATGGATACAACGATCAGTGCGCTGTCCTCTGCTGCTTATGAATGATCACAATCTCGGTTGGTTGGCCATAACAATTTGATCTATTTAAATCTGGAAGTCCCTCAGTATCTTAGCTTTGTCAGTCTCCACCACCCAGGAAGGCAGCAGGGCAGAGCTAAGTTTTTGGCAGGAGCTGAGCATAGTAGAAAGAAATTTAACCTTTGGCTTTGGTATTACTTTCCGTTCTATTGTACCTTGATCTGAGTGATGCATTTGTTATCACATCTCATGGGGTTCCTCATACCTCCTGATTGTCCAAAATAAAATCTTGTTACACTTCAAACTTCCTAAATTTGAACATTGATAAAACCAAGGGAGAAGCTGAAAGGTAAAAAATAGAAACATATATAATGTCTAAGTATATATTATGCTTTTAAGCTGTTGCTGAACTCACCGTCTGGTAGAATCTGCTCTGAGCTCTGGCAGTGCAGCTGAGTTCTGGCACCATCTACAACAAAAATAAATAAATAACAACAGAAAACAGAAAAGTTTAGCAATGTATGACCAAACTAATTACATTAAAGCAATACAATTTCAACAAACTGCTATAAAACTTGCTGCCTAAATACACTTTTCATTATTTTTGCAATTTGAACACAAAATGCAAAACTATATATATTTTGAATAGCATGAATAAAATCTTACCCGCTGCAAAGGCCATATTGTACAGGTTTGATTGATCTGAAAGGAAAAGGTTTAGAAAACGTTTTTTTTATTTGACATTATTAAGCTTAAGTACTAAGCTGATCCAAAAAGCTGGTTCTATGCTGAGGATATTCTGCTGGAGCCGCTGGACCCAACTGCTTCGGATATTATCAAACCATTGATGGTTAGTCGATAGAATGGCTTCAGATTAGGGGTGGGTATTGACAAAGAAGTCATTAATCGATTCAAATCACGATTCACATGCAGCGATGCGATTCTATCACGATGCATCATGATACTTGAAATATTGCGATGCATTGCGATATTTTCACTGAACACTGTAAGAAAAAGATCCAGCCCTTACCAGTGGCTGACTGGCTGTGTATGATTTGGATAGTGTCTTCAATTGATACATAACTGAAAGCAACTGAATTCATACATAGCTGTATTTATTGAAACGACTTTTGAAGGTGTTGCCATGAAAACAAATACTGGACACAAATATTACTATTACTGGCGTGGACACACTGACAAAAAGATCTTAGGATTCACAAAACTTAAAATAACAAAATAGGGATAATCAGTACATTTACATGGCCTCAGTGGTCCTTTTGCAAATTACGTGCATCATATCAATTTCATTTTTTCCTTCTTTGTTTTTAAAGCCAGAATGCATCCAAGCATCTGACTTGAAATGTATTATTTTGTTTACGAATGACTCGTCTCAGTATCCCGCGGCCGGACATGCTTGTGACACAAAGCAACGGGCGTCAACACATCCACAGCGACATCTGCTGGACTGGAAGTTGTATTCCACTTGATTTGGATGATGTGCGCCAACCATTAATGTATTTTATTTGTTCATTTTTTTTTTTTTTTTTTTTTATAATCGATTCTTGCCTTCAAGAATCGATGCAGTAGATCACAAAAGTTAAAATTGCGATGCATCTTCATGACGATTATTTTGCACACCCTTACTTCAGATTGTTTGTGGGTCATTTATTAAAAGGCGCAAATGACTGCAGGCGCAAACATAAATGAAATGCTTCTATAAAAGAGGGGTTTGCACGTGTCAAGGGTTGCAGCATGTCAAATTGCAGGACGTCCGTGCAAAAGGATACAGGGTCATAGGGAGATGGAGATATCTTGGAAGAGGTAAATTCAAATGTAGTTTAAAATAAGAATGAAAATTAAATCATTTAAGACTTAGATATGGCTTAAATGCTGCACAAGCGAAGGTGTTAGAAGTCTCCACTATGGTCTTTCAGATCTATTATGCACAAGGTGCTCTTTTTTTTTTTTTTAAGCACAAATTGGATTAAGTAGCACTTTTGAAAGAGGCAATGATTTTGACACGCAGAACTTAGTGATTTTGTACATATGCATGAGCAATAGCTCTGCAGACCCGTCACTTATATTTGTCCTTGTAATACCTAAAGCCTGTTTAAAAACAAGCTTCAAACATAACCCCTGCTGTTAACTAAAAGCAACACAAATACATACGAATCCTACGTCCTGTTTCTGCACAGGTGGGTTCAATAGGTCTACTGTGTTGCCTAACGCTATTCCTGTGCACAAAAATAAAGCAAAGTGGAATAATTTATTATTCATTAAGACTTAAATGTTTTGCTAGAAAATCACAATCTTCATAAAATATATTATGCTCCTATATTACTAACTATTAAACCGTCTACATACAACCTTTGATGTTTCATGTTCCATCAATGAAGCTAATGTTTTACAAAGACAAATCGGCTCTGTTTTCAGTTTTTCATTTAGAAATGAGAAAATTGGAAAATTGTAATTTCCTTTATTGGTTTTGGGTATATTATACATTGAATTTGTGTCCTTAAAAGTTTTTGGTGCTTGCACAGTATGGAGGCTGCACAGCGCCTCCTACTAGTGTTACAATCCAACTGGCTGTCTTACCACTTAGAAGGCTGTTTATAAGCGAATAGCAGCTGTGATTGGTTTAATTGTGTTTTTCGTGAGCTCAAGGAGCAGAAGGGTCACAGAAAAGGTCAATTAGAAGTAATGCAAAAAGAAAATGCAATTTCAAAAAGGATTTGAAAATTTAAGTTTAAGAAAATGGAAATTGAATCAGGAATAACAACTTTAAGTGCGTGATTAGGAAAGGTATTTATAATCAGATTTATGAATTTGGTATTTAAATCTTCATTTACATACATTACATTTTCAAAATTAAGGAGGTAAAAACAGATTAATAAATACAATTTACAATTCTGCTTTAATTATTCCATTTAAAATGTAAAATTAGACTATGTGCTTCAAATTGGATTGAAATTGCATGATTTACATGTTAAAGTTGAAATTTAACATTTAAAAATGTCTTTTTCACTGACACTATAGCTCCCCATAGACTTAACATTATCATGCTTTCAATACAAAAGCTCAATCGACTCCAAGCTTGACTTAGCTTCAGCATCCTAACACTTTTATTATGGTGCTATTTTTGGACTTTAGCTCAGCTTTCAGAAATGTCCTCCCAGACAAGGGCTGTACGCTTTGCTTTTTACGACGGAGTATTAGGGCCACACATGAAGAGAAAAAATATTTTTGCCATGACGAGATTAAACTCAACATTTCGAGAATAAAGTTGAAATGTCATGTTGAGTTTAATCTCCACGTGTCAACTTTAAACTCGCCCTGTCGACTTTAAACTCGCCATTTCGAGAATAAAGTTGATATATCGTGGCAACTTTAATCTCGACATTACAAAGTTTGGAGAAAAGAGCAACCGCGCTCCACAGCTGCAGTCTGCGTTTTAAGAGTGAAGGTAGTCTTTGACGTGCTGCAACTGTATAATCATCACAGGAAGCGGTGGCCTACCAATAATAATGTAACGTCTTTCCCTATGCTTACCCAGGCTCGCAGTTCTGAATTTGAGAACATGTCAGTCATTTCAACTTTATTCTCGAAATGGCGAGTTTAAAGTCAACAGGGCGACTTTAAAGTCGACATGTCGAGTTTAATCTCGTCATGGCAAAAATATTTTTTCTCTTCATGTGTGGCCCTAATACTCCGTCGTAGCTTTTTCAACTTAAAAAAAATATAATTTAAACACTAAATGCTGATGGAATGTCCGGTTTGCTGACATCTCCCATTAAAAATGAAAATAAAAAAGATGTCATATTAATTTAGATTTTCTAAGATTTCTGATTTCCTCTGAAACATAATATGCATATCAGAATAAATTATGTTAAAAAATAAAATGTTTAGACTTCATAGGTGTTTGTCTCAGGCTATCAGGGTTACGCTGGTAGAACCCACAGGGTTACACCTCAGTTATGCTGAGGGGAGAGCAGGACTGAAAGCTTATCACTTCCAGCCATAATTGTTTTAGAGGTCTTCAAAGGACCGGGCTTAATTGGCAGGAATCTCATTGAACATTTTATATTAGGGTTTGTCTGCATACATATATGCATAGTGTATATCCGCATGTATAAGCTGACAGATGCTTAAAAGTATAACAGCTTGCAAATGTTTATATCACTAAAAAACTTGAAGAAATTTCAGTAATTGTATTTCCAAACAAGAACTTTACACACCTTTATATATTTTTTATATATTTATTAGTTTTTAATGCTCTGTCTTGTATTTGGAATATGTAATTTAGAATAATGTCACTGCTTCTTTAACAACAGTAACAGTAAGGAATTATGTTTTTCATCATTCAAGTCCCTAAGACTTCACAGACCACTACAGTCTGTGTTTTTGCACTTAAAAGAGGATGTGAAAACACTTTGGTAAATGTAGAATAGTCTTTCTTTCCACATTTACTGTGACAAAATGTCTGAATGCTGATAAGCCACGTGGACTTTAGCTGAAGCTCTGTAACTTTAAAATGTTTGTCTCAAGGGGATTTTAGATAAAAGAAATAATCTAATGGATCAAATTTTCACCGCGATACAAAGTATTCACTTGAAACAAGTTATAGTAGTGATGGGTCATTTTAAGTTTTATCAAGAAATATGCAGCAGCTTCAAGGCAAAAGAAAAGAGTGTCAACCTGTTTCTCTCAATTAACACTGGATTTATCTACATTTAAATTAAATTCAATTTGACTTTTAGTTTAGTACACTTAGGCTACTGTACTTATTGTTTTTTTAATAAATCTTAGTCCACAAGCATCCTTATTCACATCTTTATTATCAATTTCCCGTTTTGATATTTGTTCACATTAGTTATTGACGGCATCTAAAGACTCAAAGATATTTTCAATAAGAAAGAGGGAAAAAAATACAATATAACATAGGATAACTTAATTTAGCTATATTTATTTTACATTGAATCAGTGTAAATTTAGTATGTCAAATATGCTGCATGTAGGGCTTTTAAATATATATATATATATATATATTTTTTTTTTTATTATATATATATATATTTTTTTTTATTATATATATATATATATATATATATATATATATATATATATATATATATATATATATATATATATATAGAGAGAGAGAGAGAGAGAGAGAGAAAAGAGAAGCAAGACTGATGTTTTCTAATCCCATTCAATAAATATTCTGATTTTATTTTGAAAGACCCAAGCCAGCACTACTACCGTAATACACGGTGTTAGCGTGACCTAAAAAAATCTAGTTTTGCTCCTTGACTTTCGCTTTTGAAAAAGACGCTGAATTTTCTGCTTTGAATGCAGCACTTTGGTGTTAAAGTAAAGAAAACATGATCCTATCAGAGAAGCAAAACGTTTTGAAGCTTTCAAATAAAACTGGGTGCTGTGCGAGCTACTTACGCGGTAAAATTCTGTCATTTCATAGTTTCTGAAAATGAACACGATTTATTTCGAGTGTTTCTGCAGTGTGTCAGGTTAAGGGTGACAGAAAATATAAATATGTTAGCCATTAAAAAAAATGTGAAAAGAACCTTACCTGTGCTGAAAAGATGCTTTTTCAATATCAGTTCATCATCTGTTCAAGTATTAGTGTAAAATTCTGTTTGTCAGACGCTGAATTAATGTTGCTGGTTGTGTAATTTTTCTAACCGGTAAATCTTACTACTTCTGCAATTAAACCAGAGTCAAAGCAGAAGTTTCTTTGAGGAAATGTGACTGCCCCTCCTCCCCTTGCCCAGCCTACTATCAGTATATCAACAGGAATAATATTTATTTATTATTTTTCATAGTTTTATTTGCGCTGCTCACAAACAAACAGGCCTGCTGAGAGTAACTGATTATGAGTTATTCTCTGTTTATCATTAATAAAAATGAGCAGAAAAGTTTCAACCAGATCATACAGATATGATTGATGCAGCTCCTTCATCTGCTGAACAAGAAGACAAAAATCATCACTGTAAAGATAAATCTTACAGTGAAATATTAATTACTATGATGGCCCAGAAGTGTCAGGTCGACTGCAAAAGCGGCAACAAAAATGCAAAACCCATAATGAAATATTATTGGAATTAAAAGTGCTGGTTTATTCTATATTTTGTGACCACTGTATGTTTTGATCGTTGGATTGAATGCATTTTCTACACCATCTGGGTCAGCCTGGTCAAAGAGAGAGGAGAAAAAGAAGCGAGAAATGTCTGGAAAACCAGTGACAGTGTCTCATTTGTTGAAAAAGTGACTTGTATATAATCATGTGGCTAAAATGAAATCTCACACAATATTATTATTGTTAATAAAATATAGCAGCACTGTTTTTTGTATTGACCCTTAGTTTTCATTTACATGCACTGACATAATAAACATAACTGGTCAGATGATATGACAACTTATATCATAAATTCTGACCATGCGGAAACGAAAAGTAATCAGATTGTTTCTTCCTCTTTTTAATTTGATTGTATAATTAATGTCCTGATTTTTTACTGAAATACATCCTGTCACTACTTGAAGGCTGATATTGTTTATATTTAAATAATATTCATGAAATAAGAGATATCACTTTTAATTGAATCGAGGAGGTACTTGCCAGAAATAATTTGGTTAAATGTAGTAATTTCTTATAGTTTAACCCTTTAAAGCCTGATCCAAGAATAAAACAAAACAGAAAATTACTTTTTTTTTTGGTTGAATTCTTTATTTGCCCTTTTAAAAAAATATGTAAAATGAAAAAACAGAAATACATTTTTGATACTAATAATTTATTACTATGCGATAAGTCAAGGTTATTTTTTGTGTAGTCTTCTACTGGCTGTTATCAGCTATATCTGATTGTGTACAATAGGATTTTGAGTAAAGTTTTTACCATTAAATCATGCAAAAGGTGTCAGATGCAAAACATTTCAGAAAGCCTATAATTGGCATTTTAGGGTTAAGATATGGTCACAATACATGGCAACATCTTTCACATATTGTTGGCAAGTATAAGTATTAGGAAAAGAGCAATAAAAGGTAAGTTATTTATTTTTTGACAGGTAAAAACTTGTCATAAATGTTTGCCTACTACTGATTTAAGCTACAATATAGTCACTATTTGTGACTTAAGCCTATTATGTCTGTGCATGGGAACGAAAGCAAGTATCACCACTGAACAACTGCTCCAAAACTTTTTCATAATCGATATTGATATATATTCTGTTCCTCTAGGGCTCTTTTATCCCTGAAGATCTGAATTTAGGCAGACTGTATGGTGTGAAATTAGCAAAAAATCTAGACAAGCAGTGATCTGTGCACCTAATTAGCAGCGAACGAGAGGGACCAACTTTTACACAAGAAACATAGACCTTTATGTGAGAACCCAAAGCTAGCTCTTGGTCTCAATAAACTATCCGTATATTAACTTTGCACCCCCGCCTGAGTTGATCTAAATAGCGTATGCTTTCATAAACAACATGCTTTGGCTTACATAATTTGTGGTGGCATTTTACGCATTTTTAATCGTTAAGAGGCTGTGTTAGATCTACTCAGCCACTCCATTATAATGCATTTTACCAGGTCAGTTCACTGCAAGGGTAAACATGACCAGGAGATCTCTGATCTTCAGGGAAAGTTATGATGAACATGCATCTGGCCTTCTGCTCCTGTCGAAATAACACATAGTTTAACGATAAAGTCTAAAAACTCCAATATGTTTGGGTGAGAGAATAAGATCAACCTTTAATAGGTAATGAATTATTTAAAAAGATAATACCATGTAATTAAACATAAAAAGATTGTGGAAAAACTAGGTGTATCAGTTACACTGCTGTATCTGTTCATGTTAAAATGATCAATGACATATTGTTTTTATTTGAGTGTAGTTTCTTTCATATGCCAGAAGATGTCAGTAAAGAAACAAGAGATCACATTTAAATCTCACTCCTCATGTAAGAAGTAAGCTTATTTTTTGTTAGGATCATCAATGACCAACATTAACACCTTAAATGTTCAAGAATGCAAAGAATAGCCATTTAAAGTAAACCCAGGATTAAAGTATGCAGTTTCTGATGATTGCAGTATTACATGATGCTGTTGTCCTTATGGCAATGTGCTTTTTCTTTGTTTATATTCCTTCTACAGTGTTTATGAACCTACAGACCTCAATACTGGCTTTTGTGTTGCAACTGTAACCTCTATTACTTATATGAATATTAGCATGATTGAAGAAATAAACAAATTAAAGCAGAAAGAATTCTTAAGTTCAACTGCTGGAGGAAATGCTAACTTTGTATAAACACACAGACAACAGAATGGTGTGAAATTAGGGATATATATCAATATTTACAATATTTACAGACAAATCAGTCATGACAATTCATGAAGTCCAGGGTGTGTTCCTTTATCCAAGGAATTCAACCACTTCTAGTTAGGACGTAGAAAGTGCCATTTCCTTTGGTGGTTATATGGGTCTAACGGGATCCTGGAATAGAATTCTGAAATGGAAACCTGGCCTTTATAAAACAGGCCTGATTGATCAATCTTCAGTTTTTGTGCTTCAAAATATCACAGCAGTGAAATAAGTTTATATATTAAACTCATGTGAGTACTCATAGTTTCAGTTAAGCATACAGTGATAGTGCTTTACAATTCAAAATACTTTGGGTTTAAGTGCTTAAATCCAGGTGAGTAAACATTTTAGATCTGTTTACACTGACCGAGCCCTAACAATTGCTGGGAGGCTAGGGATAGCATGCTAGCTCACCAGTTCCCACCTGTCAAACCTTGTGACCTGATGAAGGTTTTAATCCACAATGATGAATCTAAAAGTCGAAAGGCATATGAGTGGAAGACAGCATTGTACACACTTGTTAAAGGCATATGATCGGCTAGAAGTCTGTCAGCGTCAGACAGCATCTCCTACCTGGGCTGCCACTCGTCAACCTTATAAGCTGCAGCTGTCAATTTAGAAAGCTGACATAAAACCAAGTGAGAACAAAATGATCTTGTTTGGCTTTTTTAGTGGTAAAGAAATTAAGGAGAAGAGGATTTTATTTTTAGATAAATCTTTAAAATAAAAAAAAATTAAACTGAATTCAACAAAAATGGAAACAAATTATCTTGGTTACATAACCTTTTATAAACAATGTCTAGAAGCCTGAGCCAACCATCCCTAAACTCAGAAGACACACTGTCTGTAGGGGCCTATCTTCCAACTGTTCAATATTTTGCACACGGTGGCGCATGTGTGCAATGGATGTGCACTATTGCACACATGCGCTATGGAGGAGAGTCGCAGTAGTGACTTTGCACCAGGCTCAGATTGGTAATCTGTGATACCGGGCATTTGCCCAGTGGGCCGGTCCTAATTTCAGAGTGCGAGGGCCTCCTTAAATCATACCAGCCCCAACACTTACTCTCTGGCCGAAGCTCCTACATGTACCTGTGACACTAAATAACTCAAGGAGCTGAAAAAGTGCCAGGGCCAAAAATCGTTCCCAGTCCAAACCTGCATTGTACCCAGAGAGATATTTTTTTGTTTTCTTTCTTTTTACAGTACATGTTCTAGTGAAATTATTTAAAGATTACACATAGATTAATTAATTCCGTTGGAAAAAATCAATTACTTAACTGCTAATAATGGCCATTAATTGGCACTATAACATCTGAAGCAGCAACAGAATTTCAAAGCTGCTCATGGGAAATGCACACATAGAAGCTTCCTATTTCCTGTAGTTGTCATTGTAAATCTTGTCACTGTTCCTGTCTGACGGTTTGCCTGAACTGTCTTTGCACTCCTGGATCTCCTGTTCTGGCCTGTTTGACTGACTTGGCTTGGGACGCTTGCTTGTTCTCTGGGGCTGGGACACAGTGGACACAGCATCTTGTGGGAAGTGCACTGGCTGGATCCTACTTCGTTCTCAGGGGATGGACTGAACTTGTAAACCAGGTTAGTGACTCACGTTCATAATTTTCCCCTGTTAGATTTACATGGTCACCAACCTGTGTTTCCTCTCTCCAGAGTTTCCTGTCTCAGACACCCTAGCCGCTGCTACTGCAGATCTGCAGTCCGTCAGCCTGCTGTCTTAATGAATGCTTTTTGAATAATCCAACTGTCTGTATTAACTAAATACTACATTGGTGTTCTGAGAAAATATGCAGTATTCTTGCCAAAGATTCAAACTGTTTTGTCCAATGTTAAAAAAAAACCTGAAAAATTTTAGTTTACACATAAAATAAACTGTTTGATTGGCTGTGAGGTGCAATTGACTGACGTGTCATCTACTTGATGTCAGCACAACAAACGGCTGCAAAACACTCCAAATTTCAACAGTGGGAGACAGGAAAGAATGAAAAGGAACCAAATGATCAGCAAAACGGACAGCGAAAAATCCTGTTTTGATATTGTCCTGGTGTTTTGACAAACTTTTGTTGTGCTCTTGCTTTTTTTGGCTAACTTTGTTGATATTTATATTATTATTTCTTCTAGAAATGCAAAGCTTGTATAAAAGAAAAAACATTTCTTATACTGTAATTTGTAATGACATTATCACTAACAAAATATAAAACTGATCTGGGCCAAAGATGGCAGTTAAAATCTGGCCCACATGCTTCAATGAATGACGGGCCCCCACTGGTCTAGGTCTGGTTTGCCAGATATGACCTGATACATGGGCCAGTTTGGATTTCCTCAGTTGGTCAACGTCTGGCCCGGTTCTGGCCACACATGCGTCACCTCTGGAAAACTAAACCTGCGCCAGTGGAGTTCTATCATTCACTGGGGCATGTGGGCCAGATGTAAGTGCATTATGTGGGCCACATCTGGCCCAGGCCAATTTTGAATTGTGGGTTATGGTGAAAGAGAAAAAAAACTGGTAGAACTCTAAGTAAATAAATGTGACTCCATAGGACATTGATTCTTGGATTCGTGTTTATTTCACTTGATTCATCATTATACTGGTTTCTCTTGTTTGTTTCAATCTCTGGACTTTTTACAGATACGACCATAAAACATTTCACCCACAGTGATGCCATGAGGGTCTGATTACAGTGGGTGCTTTACAAATCAAGTCAAGAAACATTATCATACAGAAGTAAAGTCTATTTCAAACTCAATTGTTCACATTCTCAGAGGGAGAGAATTTAACTCTTTCATGATAAACAGCTTTTTGCTCACCGTCCTGCGCTGAGAACAGACATAAATTAAATGCTTGAACACAATGAAATGACAAAGTTTACATATTCTATTTATCTACATTTAAAAAGAAACAAATCTAATGTAATTATAAGAGCTCATAATGTATAACCATTACCATGTGTTTATCTTAAACGACACTTTAGCTTTTTCCGAACTCAATAAATGAAGTCATGTTTATTATCAGTAAGAGGTGGAGACAAAAGAAGAACATGCAGAAAGTTTCCTCTGATCAGGAACCAACCCCTGAACAGCAGCATTGAGGAATAAACTGTCTGCATATGATGAACCTACTCTTCTATTTAATCAACCAGATTTCGGAGTTTCATTAAGATTTGGATCTAAAATGTTTGATGAAATATTATGACACTCCTGTGAAATATTCGGAAACAAACAGGAAGCTAAACATCTGACACTTTGTTCACAAAGCTCATTACATGAGTTTGCATGTTTTGTCAACGTGTTTAAGGATTGGTAGCATAGCATCAAAGGCTTTGAATTTTCGCCTCATCTCTGCTTTTTTTCTAACTTCTTCCATGTATTTCTTTTTAATCTCATCCAGTTTTCTCTGATACTCTTCCTCCAGTTCTCTTCGAATTATTTCTTCATAATCTTCACAGTTTTCATATATTCCATATTCCTCTGTCAGATTATCCATTTCGCTCTCCTCCTTCTGATTTCTCTGTTTGTCTTCCCTGTGTTTCTTCTCCAAAGACTCTTGCTGTTCTTTCTCCATCAGGTTTAGTTTTCCTTCCAGGTCTTGTCTCTTTATCTCAAGGGATCGTTCAGCAACTTGACTTTTTAATCCTGATTGTATATTTTTCTCCACTGTTACCAGCTCATTCTTTGTCTTTTTTATTTCTTCTTCAGCTTTCTTCCTTTTCTCTTCTTCCTCTCTATATTTCTGCTCATTTTCGTTCTTGATCTTTTTCTTCCAGTCCTCCTGTAATTTTCCTCGTCGCAGATTTTCTGTTTTAGCCGTTCCAGGCTTTATTTTCCACATTTGTTGTTCAGCTGCCAGTTTTCTTTCAAGTTCTTCCACCCTTGCCTTTATTTCATGACTTGTTTCATTTGCAATAATCTTCATGTTCTTCTGTATGGCAGCCTCCGCCTCTTGCAGCATCTCATTAGTAAAATACTTTCCCCCATTTTCCTTCACCACTGTGTCAATCTTTCTGATCAGCTCTCTGACCTGAGTACCGTTGTCTACATCCTGATTTTTAAAAACATGGTACCTTCCTCCACAGTCAGCAACCAGCTGCTTGAAAAGATCTCCACATTCCCGTCTAATGTATTCTTCAATGGTGAGGCCATCTTGCTCCAATGACTCTCCTCCAGTTAAAAGAACGATGGTGAACTTTTCTGAATTCTTCCCAAAGATTTTCTTGATCATTTCTAATGTCTCTTTGTCCTCTGGTGTAAATCTGCCGATCCGTACAACCAGCAGGAAGACATGTGGTCCTGGAGCAACAAAATTAACACACCCCATCAACTCATGCTTAATCTCTTCATGGCTCAAACTGTTGTCAAAAAGACCAGGTGTGTCGACAACAAAAACTGAGCGGCCGTCTACTTCAGTCTTTTCCTTCAGGCATTGCTTTGTAACTGAGTTTTGACTTGATTTGGCATCAAACTCTTTTCTTCCTAAAATGGTGTTTCCTGATGAGCTTTTCCCATTGCCAGTCTTCCCTATCAGAACAATTCTGATATCGTTTGGATTTGGTTCTACGCCTGTGAAAACAATAACAGGAAATCTAAAAAAGTACAACTAAATAATCTTACTAACAGTTACATGTCATTTTGTTAATCTTAATAAATGATAACATAGATTAAAGAAAGAAAAAGAAATTTGCATTCCTTTTGATATTTTTCAAACGATTAGTAAAAAAAAGCCAACCAACACATCTCAAAATACTTAGCAAAAACTGAAGAAAAAATAACTACTCTCTCTCAAATTAAGGAAAACCACACTTGTTCCATCTGGCACTAAACTGCCCAAATAGTGCAAATAATCCACCTACCAAATAAAAATGTGTGCATGTATAGATTCACATTTCCACTGTTTTTTGATTTTTACTGTCAATATTAAAATCTCTTAAATTACTGTTCTGCTGGTATTATATTTCTTTTAGAAGTTAGCTGAATTACATGACTATAGTTATGTTACATACCAGTATAATATTAATCTAACAGCAAATAAAACAGTAATGGAAGGTAATGGGTCCTGTGCATAATAGTGGACAATGTTCAGACTGGTTTTCTGCTGATCCCATACTTGGTTGCACAGGCAGCTGTTTCAGGAGATACATCCAGACTTCCCTCTCCCCAAACACCTCCTCCAGGTCCTCTGGGGAACCTGGGGCCCTCCAGGCCAGCTAAGAGTCCCTCTAGCATATCCTGGGCTGCCCTCTAGGCCTCATAATATTGAAATGTGCCTTGAACGTCCTCTGAGGGAGACATCCATATGGAATCTAGAAACATATCAAAGTCACCCCAACTGACTTCTTCCAATGTAGAGAAGAAATTGCTCTACTCTAACCTCACCTAGCCTCTAGAGACCATCCTGATCTCGCGAGCTTTCAAGGTTTCACTCGCAGATCAGTCTGGCTACTTTCTGTTAAAGAAAATTTGGAGCCGTTCACCAAACGAACGTCCAATCAGCGTTGGCTTTGAGGCGGGTTGAGGTGTGACGCAACGAGAAGCGCGACAGTTCAGTCTAAAGAACATGGCGGCTTCAGCCGATGAAACTAGCGTTAGCGTGGCTATCGAGCAAGTTTTATCGGAATTACAGAGTATTTCTTCACTGAAAGAAGAGCAAAACACTGCTCTGGAGGCTTTTCTCAGAGGAAAAGATGTTTTTGCTCTTCTCCCGACTGGTTTCGGCAAGAGTTTGATCTATCAATTGGCTTGTGCCTGGCATGTGGTTGTGTTTTCGTCGTCACTCTGTTAGTACGTCATATGCTTCGTTGATCTGATTGGTTTATTTGGCCCATCTATCACCAACATAGGCCAATCAGCTAACCAGTATTTTCGCCCCTTCCCAAAATTACTTCAACGGAAGGTTTCCAGATGGATATGCAGAGCAAATCCAGCAAATCCCTCTGGCGGAGTCAGGTTAAACCCCACCCAGATGGGCAAGCACCTTACCATCTCCCTAAGGAAAATGCCTGTCCGCCCTGCGGAGAGAGGCTATTTCGGGGCTTGTATCTGGGATCCCATTATGTCATGGTCCAGATTTTATTACTACGGGGGAATGTAAAAACTTAGACTAATATGATAGCTAATAAAGGGCCACTGACTCCACATTCCTGGAGCATCCCCACAGGCCACTATAAGGGAGATGGTTGAATGTTTTCTCAATGTCCACAAATAACATGTGGACTGGTTGAGCACCCTGCAGAAGGTATAGAGCTGCTCCAATGTTCAAAAGGTCCTCTGGTGGAATTATGAAATCCCAGAGGGGGCTCCTATCAAACAGGGCCCTCTACACATGCTGATGGCACATGGATATGGGCCCCCAGTCAACCAGGGTGGACTGCAAGAAGAGATGACTGAGCTGGGGGGACACAAGTTGAACCACCCCTGTCCTTCACTTCTGCCTGTGGGCCACTCTAGAGTTAATAGGGCCGCACCTCTCTAAAAGGGTTAGGCTCCAGAGCCCAGGCTATGTGTGGAGGCGAGCCTGAATGTTTCTAGGCAGTATCACTCAACCTCCTGTTAAATCTCAGCCCCCCCCACCCAAACTCAATCTTACTGATATCAAGACTTTTTACATTCCCAAAACCAGTTAAAGGGTCCATGGATTAGCCTGGTCAGAAGAATAGTTGTAATCCTAAGGAGGAAAAAAGACCCAATCCATGCTAGAGATGTGCATCGTACCTGAGCTGAGGTTGTTTTGACTCTATGTGTTTTAATAATGGACTTTTACATAATATTCTAACTTGCTCAGACTGAAGTTAAGGCTTTTAATATCTGTAATTCATGATCAACTAAATTACAAGAAATAAAACATTAAAATATCTTGTTCTATGTGTAAATAATCTATATTATTCTTTATTTGGATAAGAATATGGACATTTTAATACAGTTAATAAAAAATAAAACCTTTTGATACTCTCTATTATGTAATTTTTCAGATATTCACAAATCTAAAAATCTTACCTTCAAATGATGACGTTAATATTTCCCAGTTTTTGCTGTTTCTTTGCTTTTTAGTCTCCGCAGATACCTGGACTGCTGGCTGCTGCTGCGTCTGCTGATATGCTATAGGATCACAAAACAGCCTTTAGGTGGCGCTGCAACAGGTACTCAAATGATACAGACATTATTTGCTGTCAGTGAACAATTTAACAACTTTACCCCTAAACAGGAACAGTTGTAGAGCTTTGTTCAGTTTCTCTTATTTAGTTTAGGCATCTGTAGCCAACTTAATCTGTATACTGTAGATTCTGCCTGATGAAAGCAGAAACCTGGGAAGTTGTAGATAATTCAACTGCAAAAGGGGCTTTGGTCATGTTGCAGCATGTTTAGTTGCTGGCTGTTGGGCTGTGGTCCTCTGGGATTTGAAGGCTGACTATGGGCTAGGAGTAGTAGGCTACGGTCTTATATGTAGCATGAAATACAGTTTTTCCTTCAATTCAGTTTATTCACAACACATATCATCTCAAGGAACTCTAAAGAGATAAATAATTCAAATCATTCTGAAAGAGTCTCTCTTCACCAAAGATAAATACTCTAAATGTAAACTAAAAAGAAAACTTTACCTCTGATGTAAGCTTTGATGCAGTTAGACTTTACCCTGGATTCACCCCTCAAAAGAAATCTTATTTGTAACCTTATAACCAAAAAGCACTTATTGTATTCATTCATGTTTTCAGTTTCTTTGTCCCACGAATGCTGTTGGGATCCTGAGGCTTGCCCACCAGAGTGCGCCGAGGATCCTCTTCTGTTTTATGTTTTCTGTTAGTGACTGGGGTTACTGTTGGGATCCGGAGATCCACCATCTGTCTCCAGCAGAGAGCGCTGTGGGTCTCCTGGGCTGGAGCTTCCAGAACACCTGAAGTTCATCAGCCCATCAGGAGACCTTCCTTCATAAGCAGCAGCCAGACCTTCCTTCGACGCCGCAGTGTTGACCAAGTTTGGTTAGCAAACCCTAGCCTCTGTTTATCTAGTAGATTTTAGTAGACTCTTGAGAGAAACTAAATTCTAACCTGCCTCTATCTTTTCTACTCACAGAAAGCCTGACCAAGGTCTGAAGCTCTGGATGAGCTTTACCTGGAAACCTGCCTGCCTGCCCAAGGAAGCCAAACCAGAAGGTCTTAGTCTGGAATCCTCCTTCAGCTCTCATGGAAGAGCTGGGAAACTAACCTGAAGATCTCAGTCTGGATTTCCTCCCTCAGCTCTCAGGGAAGAGCTAGGAACAAAACCCACGGCTAAGACTCACTAGCCAGAAGCTAGACGCTACTGCTGCTGAGCTCTCTGCAACTCCCACAATCTCTGGACCCAACCGGTTCCCCATTCCAAGGATCTGTCTGAACCTCTTCAAGGTACTTTCAGAATTCAACTCATTCGTCAAGCCATCTAACTGCCTGGCTAACCAAACACTCATCTCCTCAGATATCAGTGAAACCAGTCCCGGACCTGCACCAGAACCTGTTCTCATTTACTCTGTGTGTTTTCCATAATAAACCCTGTTAAACTTTTACTTTGCTTCCAGTGGTGTTTCTGCATGTGGGTTAAGTCCATAGACCTTTCATGACAGATTCTTTCACTGATGTACATCAGTCGATTAATGACTCTTATATCCTAAATCCTCCCTTATTATACATTTCCATTTTATTTAATTTTTTTCTGTTTTTAATCCTAAATCCAGTATCCTGAGAAGTCAGTGTGACCTTTGCCTCTAATAGAGGATGCTACCTTCTTTGTTCTTCAAGGATGAAGAACAAACGCTGCTTTCATCACTTTTACAGTTTTCTCTAAGTTTGCCTTAGATTAGTGGAGAATAGAACCTAAAAGCTGCTTCTGCATGTTGACTAGAATGGACTTGAGCCTGAAGATGTCTGTGTCCTATTTCACAAAATCAAAATAAAGCATTTAGTCTGGACTTTTCAGATATTCTGACCTATTTGAGCTTCCACTTCACGCAGCATTAAAACTGGATGCCAGGCTAATAGAGCAATATAAATGTATGACATCTGAGATCTACAAATTACAATATTAGTTTCCACTGTTCATCTTTAGGTTAATAGCTGTTCATTTGAGAAAGTTACTCCTTAAATTATGTTGTAAACAAAAATGTTCAAGAAATGTGTATTTTAGTTAATTTATTCATTAATTTGATCCACTTTTGTTTTCTAAATCAATGAATCTGAGATCAACCTCATGTTCTCTCGAAGAAAGCTGTAGATCTGCATTTAGCTTGATTACTTATATCAGGCTTGGCCTTTAAAACCAGGATGCACTGATCATATCCTTCAATTCCTAATTCTGCTTAGTCAAATAAGCCTATGGGCTCTAATTATTCTGCGTGTTTTATTTTTCATTTTTCTTCTTTAGTAAAAACTGTTTATTTACTTAACCACCTGATTTGGGTGTTCTCCCAAACCTTTCAGTGTAGAATAATACTTCAGAAAGAAAATTCTGATTTATTTTCAAAAATAGGGACAGAAAGTTTGTATTACTTACAGCATTAACCGTAATTATTTTCAGGTTTAATGTGTTCATCATTGTTTTTAAACCCTCAGTCTTCAGGGACTCAAATCAAATAAAAAATAATCTAAAATGTTAGTATAAGATACATAGAACTTTATTTTGATTGATAATGATTATAATTTCTTTCTTCTAAAACTGCCTCTGGATTTATTTTCTAACTCCTCAATGATGGGTGTGCCTAAAATGAGGTACGCTGAAAAATCATTGTTAAAATGGAGCAGAGTAGAGCTTGTAAGTTATACATCTTTTTCTGGCAGCAGAAGGATATTACTTTGTCTTTTGGAACATTGAGATTTCTTCTCCACTGTCACTACCAGCATGCTTGGTGTGAGGGATTGCTGAAGAGTCCAGAAGTCGATGCAATCAGCTGTTTTTTCTTTGACAGAAAATATAAAACAATCTGACTGTATAATCTAGTTGAATTCTCTATAAAGAGCCTTGAGATGATGTGTTGTGAATCGAATCTATATAAATAAACTGAATCTAATCGAATTGGAACAGAATAATATTCTTACAAATCTTTATCACTGAATGAGATTTAATCTTAATTTTCCCTACTGTTATCCATGGGTACCTTTCAAAAGACAATCCAAAAATCTTACCTGCCAACTTTGACATGAAGGGATTCCGGCTTCCTGGTTCTGGTTTCTTGTTTTTGACAGAAAATGGATTTTGTGGCTGCCGAGGCTGAGCAGAGGCTACAAGAACACAAAATTGCTTGACAAAATCATTGATATAAGCAAACATTACTGAAGAAGTCTTTGCCTTCTTTGTCTTAGGCTTACTTTCTGGACCATAACTATGGGAGCAGCAAAAGTGGCCCAGATCTACTAAATGTTTTCCAATCTGCCCAAAAATGTTGCATCCAGCCAGGAGGTGCCTCTTCCAAAGTTTTAAGCCTCAATGTCATTGTTCAACCCCAGACAACAGCATTAACATGTAAGAAAGACACTCTCAGGTCATCATAGGTCAAGCATTGCAAAGTGCCTTTGGCTGACTTGTACCATACACATATGACCAGTAACAAAAAATAATATTATAAAATGAATTCATCTTTAACAAGTCTCAGAACCTTTTAGTCTAATCTATATTTGTTGGATGTCATATATAATGCCCCTCTGGAGCACATAAAGGGCATTCTATAGAAAGAAAATCCCTGAAGTGTCTTGCCCGAGGACACAACGACACTGAAAGTCGGAGTTGGGTCTTGAATCGTCAACCCTTCGATTTCAGGGCAAACTCCTACATCCAACGCCACTTTCGCCCCAACAGCAATAGGTCTCCCTTTCTTTAATTTAAAGGCTGAATTTTCTGCTCTAAAAATCTGGAAATAACAGAATACTGTAACAAAAAAGTGAAAATTCATATCTGGAGTTTAATAAAGTCTTTATTGATTGATAAATTTCATGAATAATCCAAGATTTGCTCCTGAGAGTCCCACAATAAGAGCTAAGATACTAACCCCAACATAACAGGACACTAAATGCAATTACAAAAGAAAAAAAAAAAAACAACAACTTTAAACAGAGGTGGTGGACTCAGACTCCAGCTTCCAAAAACATACAATTCAATCATAGACATTGTCCCTCCCAGATATCACCGAACACCCCACCCCATCACAGAGGAACGAGGGACCTACCCGCTCCAGCCGGTAACCAATACCTCCTCAACGACCGACTCTTAACAATCATAGACAGGTTTCAGGTATTACAGGAGACAATCCCCCCCTTAACAGCAATCCCCCCCCCTTTAACGACCGACCCTCAGAATCATAGACAGGTTTCAGATATTACAGGCTAACGATGGAACTAAACGCCCCATTCATCGGTTACCATTTGCATGTTTCCAAGCAATACAAGGCCTTGTCTATATAAGACTCAAACTCACTGCGGATCCAGACATTTGAATTGAGAAAGCTTCCTGGAGAGGTGGCGAAACGTTTTCAAATCTTGGACACCAAGTCCAGTGGATATTTTTTGAAATTTTTACGGAATTACAAAAGAATAATTTAAATCTAGAAACTGTAACATCTGTACATGTTACCATAGTGGTTTTCACTGTTGACCTTTAACCCTGAAACCAAGGCTTTGTTTATGGTGGAGTCTGTAATCTCACAGATAACTAAGTATCTGTAAGATACTTAGTTATCTTACAGATAAGATTTACAGGATAAAACCCCACGTTGGGAAAACCATATTCAACAAATCTTACCTTGCAACTTTGTCAAAATAGCTTTGACGCCACCGATCGGTATATTGTTTTCACTACCAGAAGGAGGGACCGGTGGCTGCAGCTCCTGCTGAAGGACTGCAAGAACACAAACACAGCATACAGACATTCAATCATTCAATCCAATCCAAGGCAGTTGTTTAACTTCATTATTATTGATGCTGCAATGAAATATGTCCTCCTAACTAACATGAAAGAAAATGTTGCAAAGTTACAGTTTTTACCCGTTCTTGTTTGGAAATAAAATATGCTGCAAACATTTTAAAAAGTAAAAATAGTTTAAAACAAAAAACGATGCCATATGATATTTATGTAGTCAACATAATGCTTAACAGAAGAACCTGAACCATTAAGTCAAACAGAAGAAAATACCCACAGTGTTAATTAGGAATCAACATTAAACCCTCCTGAACCTGTATTTCACAATAGCTTCAAAGGATTCATTGCTTTAAAGGTAAACTTACATTTCTGAAGTTTTGAATGTGGTCAAATAATTGAATTCAACTTCACAAGGGAATTAATTTCTTTCCCCTTCTTTTTTAAAGCTTAAAGACAATGACCAATATGAAAAAACTATACAATTGAAATTAAATGGACTGTATTTAAACTAATTCATCTTTGTGGCTGAAATCCACCTTTAAAGTGGGATTAGATTTACAGCTAGAGATGAAATGGTTTAGCGGACGATTCTATATCAAACATCTCAAAGAATGAGGTGTTGAGCCTTATCAGGCATATTAGTAAGAATAAGCTGGAACTGAAAACAGTTTTTCTCTGTCAATAGCATAACAAGGAGAAGAGCCTTTGTTAAGCAGTAGCTTATTCAGAACATGTAGGACAGGGGATGTAAACTAAACAGTACAGCTGTCAAAGCACCGGAGAAGATACTACGATACCACTGCCTGTCACTGCATACAGAGCTGAACAGCCCAAAAGGAGAAAAAAAGAGAGATGGACCTGAAAGAAAACAAAGACTTGGCTCATCATACCTCAGTTGGAAAGCTTTAGAAAGGCTCAGACTAGATTGGGACACAAAACTGTCTCTGCTTCTATCAGGAGGTAACTTTTAAACTTTTAATCTTAAATTAATACCTGTGTGTTACTTTGGTACTGTATAGTAATAGTGTTCTTTCTCTGACCTTAGATGTGTAAAATGATAGAATCGTGCTAATAGATAATATAGGATTTTGATCAAGGTTGAGTTTTGTGTTTCAGTTTTGTAAATGTTGAATCGGACACCAGGAGGAAGAAAAGGAGGGTTTGTCATGGGCAAAAAATACTTAGTTATATTTACTCTGCCTCTCGCCCTCTAACAGCTGGAGATAGCCACCAGCACACCTCAGGAGAGATAAGCGTGGTGGGAAATGGATGGATGGATGGATGGATGGATGGATGGATGGATGGATGGATGGATGGATGGATGGATGGATGGATGGATGGATGGATGGATGGATGGATGAATGTTTATATTTAATTCAGAAAATTCAAATCAGAAAAGTTTTTTTTATTTAAACTTAGGATTATTACCTTCCCACTTTGACTTTAAAGGTTTCTGGCTGCTGCTTGGTTCAGGCTTCTTAGTCTCCTTAGCAGGAGTCTGGACTGGTGGAGGCCACTGCTGCACTGGAAGATAACAATAATAAAACCTACAATACATTTTCTCATAAGACAATATTTTAACTTATTCCCGTCTGTTTCCATTTTAAATTAAAAATTTTCATAAGCATTTTAGACCCATGGCATTAAATAATCCAGAGGCATATTTATTTTGCCATATTACTTTTTATTATTATTCTCAGTTTTGCAGGTGAATGTTTATCAAATGTGGAAGTATATAAAAATTATGCTGATGAAGATTCTCAGTCATCCCGGTCATAGTCATAGTTCTGTAAAAGTTCAAAAAATCCACTGGACTTAGTTTCCAAGATTTGAAGACGTTTCGCTACCTCTTCAGGAAGCTTTCTCAATTCAAATGTCTGGATCCGCAGTGAGTTTGAGTCTTATATAGAGACTTGTCTCTATAAAGACAGTGGATTTTTTGAACTTTTACGGAATATAAAAAATTATCTATGGACTTAAACTGAAGTAATCATTTTGGACCAAAAGAGGGGTGTTCATAAGTTTAACACAGCTTCAGTTAATCCAGCTACAAAGCATCAATCAGGCTCTAACTCTGGGTGAAGGGATCCACTCAGGCCTGAACCTTCAGAGGCTCATAGAGACAGGAACAAAGGTGGCCTTCAATCACCTGAAGAACATTTCCAGACTTAAAGGACTAATGACACAGAAAGAAAGACTAATGACTCAGCTTCAAAAACTAAAACATGTGTTCATGTTTAGTAGAATTGATCAGTGCAGTGGTGTCTTCACAGATCTGCCAAAAAACAATGGTTCAGGGAGTAAATCCAGAATGCTGCTGCCCGGGTCCTCACCAAAACTAAGAAAGCAGAGAAAAAACTAAGAAAGCAGAGAACATCAGCCCAGTTCTAAAGTCTTTCCACTGACTCCCCGTTTCTTAGAGAATAGAATTTAAAATACTTTTGCTAATTCATAAATCACTGAATGGCTTAGGTCCAAACTACAAAATTAAACACATTTGAATTGCCTGGAAAAAAAGCAAAAATATTAAATTAAATTAAAATAAAATAAAACAACAAAAACTTACATTTTGAGGGAAGAAACTCCGGGCTGCTGTTCTGCCGATCGTTTATAAGATTATCTTCTATAAAAACAGGAAATTTCTGTAAGTCACAATCAAACTATAAAAACAACAACAACAAAAAAAAAAAAAAGAGATTTCTGATCATTTGTGTACTATTAAAACATGGTATGAGAAGTCTTGAGTTTAATCTTACCATCTTCATCAGCAAGAAATTCAACATTGTATTGGTCTGATTCATCTGTAACAAATTATTTTAGATTTTATTTTAATTCATCAGCTTCTTAAATATTATGTAAACTTCATGAAAATCCCCCACTATACCTTTAAGTTATTTTTTTAAGTTAACCCAATCAGGTAAATCAGGCATTGCTATTTTCAATATTGCAGAATTTCATCCAGCTTTTCATGCAACAAACCAATGAAAGTTAAATCAGAAAAAAATAAAAATGATTGTCAGCTGTAAAGTCTCAAATTGTTCAAGATTCCCTTTTTGTATTTGCTTTAAGGTGTTAATGTGTTTTTACATACCATGGCTTGAAGAATCCAAATGTGAATGAGTTTCTTTAACGGGTTCAAGGCTTGGACGACCACAGACAATATGGTCTCCATTGCTCTTTCTCAAAATGAGGGTCAGTTTCAGCAGCAGTCCTTCAGGGTTGTTTTGCAGCCTGACCCAGTTCTCTCCACACGTTGTGATCAGATCCTGCAGCGGTCGCTGGTGAGACGAGTAATTTGGAGCTGAAGTTTCCCATCCAGGTTTCGAGATAAGTACCAATGAACACTTAAATGCTTCATCGCTGAAGAGTTCAAGGATCTTACAAAGTTTTTTCTTTTGTTGGTCAGTGATGTTGTGCTGAACAACCAACAGAAACACATGAGGTCCTGGAGCACAGAGACTCACACAATGTTCCACATGTTCTTTAAGTTTGTCTTCAGAGATTGTTGGATTAAGCAGATTTGGAGTGTTTATTAGAACGGTTTTTGTTGTCTTAATCCTTCCCAAAATTTTGCTGGAGGTCTTTGGATCTTCAGTTTTGTTGCACATATTTGGACCCAGTAATAAATTAGAAACCGAACTCTTGTCAGACCAGTTGTTGCCCAGCAGAATAAGCCGCATCTCAGACACTGAAAAAACAAAGGAAAAAGTTATTTTTTAAAAGATAAATGCTCCTCATAAACAAATTACTAAATAATTTTCACCATCTAAGCTCTGCTTCATGTTTTCTCAGTGTTTTTCCAACAGCTATTTTCAGGAAAGCTTTGCCTTTCATAACATGATTTACCCCAGATGTTTACCTCAGATGTTTTCCCCAGGCCATAAAAGCAGCAAGTAAAACCCTGTTAAGAATTGTAATATGGACAAGCTGCTGGTGTAGAACTACAGTCAAATGACAAACCTCATGTTCATCAAAAATACATTTTAAAAAAGGTGCGTTTCAACAGCTTATTGCCTTCCTAACAATGATTAGCCACTTTGATATTCCCCGGTCTGGCTTCAATTATTACAACAGAACAGAGACTGGTCTTATCAAGTTCAATGACGTCCATATAAGACAGACTGGGGAAGAACCAGAGTCCTACTTTTATTGGACCTTTGTGGCATTCCCAAACGGTCAATCTTAGGACCTCTTCTATTCAAAATGCTTCCCCTAACTCAGACTGCATTACACAATGACCCAAATGAGCATACCTATTTAGATAACAAACACCTGTACATTACAATAATTTACATGTAACTAAGAACCCATTCAAGCACCGAGTAAATGCGTAAAAGAAATCAATGCATGGTTTGTTGAAAGTCTTAATCTAGGAGATGCATAAATCTACTGAAGTAATATTTTTTGGACCAAATGAAGAGGGTTTAAAAGTGTGAACAAAGCTCCAGTCATTAAAGCTAAACACTACGAATCCATATCTGGGTGCTTTGATGGAGGTCGGACCTGAACCTTTGGAGCCGCTTAAATACAGGAACAAATTCAGCGTTCTATCACTTGTAGAACATGATCAAGATTAAAGGACTAATTTCTCATCAGGATCTTGAAAAAATTATTCATGTCTTAATATTTAGTAGAATTGATCACTGCAGCTTCATCTTCACAGGTCTGCCTTTGATCAGATTGCTGCAGCTGATTCAGAAATTCTCCCTAAAACTAAGAAACTGGAGCACATCATCCCAGTTCTAAAGTCATCACTCTGGCTTCCTGTATGTCAGAGAATAGACTTCTGTTTGTTTATAATTCACACACAAAAAATCACAACAGACTTTATGTTGGTGCATCGAATGCACAGAACTCTCAGGTCTTACAGCACTTGTCTATTCTGAATGAACAGAACCAACACAGAGATGCAGTTTTTAGTTCTTATCCTCCATTAATCTAAGATCAAACTCGCTGCTTCCAATCGTAATTAAAAATGTATTTGTTGCCTTCAGTTTCCTTTCACTGTGCTATCTAAACATTTTAGTCAAAGTTTGTAAACTAACTTTCCTTATTTTGTTAATGATAAAATATTTTTATTAAATTGCATTTCCAGAAATCCAAGAACACTGTAAGAAAGTAAGGGAGGACAATACCAATAGTGAGATTGCAATAAAAATACTCATGAAGGGAGAAAAAAAAAGAGTTAAAAATGACTAAAAGAAAACAGGGGTGGGGACCTAGTTGTTAGGGTAAAGGGTTTGGAATCCTGAGGTTGTGAGTTCCAAACCCCCTCCCACATACTGCCCATCAGGCTCTCTGAGCAAGACCCTTAACCCCTGATTGCTCCCCAGGTGGTAAACAGTGGCAGTGGGTTAAATGCAGAGAGTTAATTTCTCAATTGTGAGCTCAAAAAAGTTCAATTTAATCTTTAATTCAAAGTGCAGCTGTGTAACAGAAGAAGTGAATGATGTCAGTTTATAGGCGAGTTTGAACAGGTGAGATTTTAGGTGTGATTTAAAGAGAACAAAATAATTTAGATTGCAGAGGTCAGATTTAATAATGATTGTTTTACTGTCTGTATAAACATCCCATATTTTACTTATTTTGTTCTCTCTACTATACATTTTCATTAATAATTCATTCATTAATAATTTATATACCACAGCATAATATGTTGAATTTTTTTTTATGTGCAGGACTTTCAATGATCTTGCTCCAACAATGTAAACAAACTTGCCTTCTCTGTTTGTAAATGTCATTATTTACATAAAATGACATGTGACACACACACACACACATATATATATATATATATATATATATATATATATATATATATATATATATATATATATATAAAAACTGTTTTCTCACCCCTCGTGGGGTGGTATGTGTCATCCTCAAGCTCGGGTCCTCTACCAGAGGCCTGGGAGTTTGAGGGTTCTGCGCAGTATCTTAGCTGTTCCTAGGACTGCGCTCTTCTGGACAGAGACCTCTGATGTTTTACCTGGAACCTGCTGTAGCCACTCTCCCAGTTTGGGGGTCACAGCCCCCAGTGCTCCAATTACCACTGGCACCACTGCTGCTCTTACTTTCCACATCTTTTCTAGCTCCTCTTTCAGCCCTTGGTATTTCTCAAGCTTCTCGTGTTCTTTCTTCTTGATGTTGCTGTTGCTTGGGATTGCCACATCTATCACTACTGCCTTCTTCTGCTGTTTGTCGATCAACACGATGTCTGGTTGGTTAGCCATCACCATATATATATATATATATATATATATATATATATATATATATATATATATATATATATATATATATATAATAATTCTAAAGAGAACAGTCAAAAAAGGTTTACTGTGCATCTTACTTTGAGGGGGACAGAAGGCACTGCTGTTACTCCGAAACAGCTTAGGTTCAGTGGCTGCAGAAAGAAGCAGAATATTTGACAATAAGCAGCAAAGAATTTGATGAAAAGATAGAAACATGAGTAATAACTTCACAAAGACATTATTAAGGTGTTTGTAACTTAAACTTAGCTAAAAATTTTATGTAAATACACACTATAACTCATTACAGACATAATTATTTTTTGTTTGTTTGTCTGGTGGGTGTGTGTGCGTGTTGGGTTGTGGGGTGGGTGGAGGATTTGCATTAAAAACAACTCAAAATGCATCTTCTGCCGCATTCCCATAGTTACTTGTCTTTCAGTCTGTAAATTGGCTTTATATCACCTCTGCAGGGCAAAGTTTGGTTCTACGAATGTATGTTCCGCTAAACAATAAAACTGTTAATCTGTTACAACCACCATGGGTCAAACCAGTGTTGACTCCAATATAAACCATATGATTTAATCATAGTTATAGTGCAGGGCGTGAACACATATCAGAAGTTCCTGCTGGGAAGAATCTAGTTCAACAGAGGCCAAAAAAATAGTCCTAGAAAGGTAACTTTGAGACATTGAAACTAATCAGGATGCAAAATCTAAAAAACTCTCAACACAAAAAAAATTCTGAAAACTGTCATGTAAAACAATCATCATTGTTATTATCCAAGGCAGTTTATTCATTATTATCTTTAAATGAACTTACAGGATGCAGAAGCCATGATGACACTTTGTTAGAATCTGAGATCAGAAGCTGTCACCCCCAAAAAAGGCAAAAATATTAGATGTTTTAGGATGTTAAGAGATAAGACTGTTCTTTGTAACAGCATCAATATAATCATTTAAAGCTACAGTGTGTAATTTTCAGCGACATCTAACGTCCAGACTGCAGACCACAGCAACATGAACATCTCCCCCCACCACTTGTCCCCCCCAACAGTACGGCGAGCGTTACAGGACAAAATGTCTTCCACGACGTCCGCATCACCTACCTTCTCAAGTGATGAGGTTTGTTTACATAGATAATTTTACAGATAGTATTTCATTAGTCTGTGTAGGGTATAGATTTCATGTAGACTTAATATACCCGTTATTTTTTCTACATCGTTGTGACGTTTTGGCGATCTCGCAATCGCTACTTTGTTGGCTCTGCGCTGCCGTAGCGCAAAAATGTCTGCCTCCATGGCTGCGAGACCCGCTCCTATGTAATTATAAATAACAAATTCTAAGGCAACGCAAATATTAAGGTTAAGAGGCTGAGCTCGTAGATGATGATAAATAACATAGTTATGTATAATATATTACATTTCTGACTATATATCCCTGTAATTATTACACACTGTAGCTTTAAAGACAAAAGTACATGAAAGCATAAAAGCTAAATAAAGTTGTTGAGGTAAAATAAAATCTAGTAAACTAATAAAAGTATCAAAGTAGTCATTTAAATACACAGAACTGAATATAAACATTGAAAAGTGCTTGAAAACAGAGGAATCAGTTAAAAAAGTCCAATCTGCATGTCTTTTTAATGAAAGATTCTATCAAATTACAAAAAAAGATAAGATTGAATTTACTGTAGTGTTTTTTAATATTTTATTTTAAAATGTTACAGTTGGATTCACCTACCTTACATGTGAAGCAGTTGCTTTACTGTTTTTCCCTGCCTGTTGATGAACGAGTATGTCTGCTCTGAAATACAATTCTGCTCATCTGTCAGCATGGCAGGCAGGAAGCTGAGCTTAGTCAATGTTTAACTAACATGACGCCTCAAATAACTAAGCTGAGCTATTTATATTATTTGAAAAGCTCAGCCGTACACTGGGAAATTTAAAAACACCTGGGAGACGAAAGGAAAAGAAAACTTTATTGAAGTAAATGAGAGCTGCTCACTTTATCAACCATTATTGTCCATGACATTATGTTTTTAAGAGATCTGACCCACATACAGAAAACCACTCAGAGAAACCAGAGTAAAAGTTTGACAGGTTTATTGAGGTTGGGTACAGTTGGGTTGGATTCAGGGGAGCTCAGAGAGCTGGTGAACCGGAACTGAAAGTGAGAAGGGAAGTTCACAGGGGTTAGTTCAGGGTCCGTGGGAACTTTGAACGACATCTTGCAAAAACAGAGACAAACAAGACTCACGTTTGCGGAGAAAGGCTTCTTCCCAGAATCCAGTCGGTGTAGGTCTTTCCAGAGATTGAGGGGCTTGTTGGAGAGTGGGCAGGTTTTGGTTTGGTTGGTTCCTGAGGAGCAATGGAGCGGACTGCCACTTAGATTTCCAGGAGAACTTGAACAGGACGTATGGAGATTAAGCC